TTATCATTGTTTTTCAGTTTCCATTTAGGATAAAAAATACAGCAAATATATACATCTTATGTATATTACGCCTGGCCAAATTGGAGCTCGAAGACCTTCTTGAAAGGAAAGTCTGATTTTTGATTTTCAAAATCTTTTAGATTTTTTTCCGCAAACATTCATATAGATCGTTTGCGATTGTTCAAGCAATATCTTATAGAGCTTGCTTTGCTCTATGATACAATTGTTTGGTACATTTTTATACCTTCTCTGCCACTTTAGGTTAGGGAACATGCATTATTGCATCAACCTCACTTTCAAACACGCATGTACTACCTTGAAAATTTCTGATTATAACCTTGCAAAGTCTGCTCACCAGATTGCATTGTTCTCCAAATTTAAGCCTTTGCACCCCCTCTTGTATCCATCCTACGAACGATGAACAGGCTGGCTCCCAGGGTTGGACTTCAACTCGTTGTTGTGCTTAAGAAAAGAACGTGGGATTTTGAATGCACAGCTCCGATCCTACCTGCTGAACTTTCGATAAGAAGAACACAAGTGTCTTCCATCCACAGAGCTGCCCCTTTTCTAAAAATATCCTTTGTTCTCATATCTGAAAACATCTCGTCAAGCTTTAGGTTAGGTGAATTGATTCACGCTTACTTGTACCGACTGCGAATGAATAGTATAATACGCCATTTGGCCACATGTAATTTTTCCAGTGGTTCCAGTTCAATGCTTGACGTTTACTTCTCTCTCTCTCCAATTCCATAGCTTCTTCATCCTTAGCAATCATTTGCGCTTGTTCACTGAAGATAACGTAGAGAAAAACATTTCTTCAAAACTTGAGTTCGTACGTGGTTAGAATTATGTCACTCTGATACAAGAGTTCGTCTATATGCGACTGATGGTTGATTTGGCTGATAGTGTGGTTATCATAATAGGCATGCCCTAATTGTGCCGCTTCCTGTAAAAAGTTTTTTTAGCGAAAACGATACTGACTGCTTGAGCGAATCCTCAACCTACCGTCTCAAGTCTGTGCAATTCTAACTCTTGTTGTGGGCTCAGCTGAAGCTGTCTTTCGACTGCTTTATCATGTGCATGTAATATTTCGGTAGTGGCAAGAAGCTCGGCCTTGTTCAGGGTCTAGAATACATCTTTTGAACGTAGTTGAAAAAGTCATGTCAAACTCACTGTCGGTATATCGCTCAGCGCCTTGTCGATCTTTTCGATAATGCCGCTTGCCAAGCTGTTGCTAATAGATATGAGTACTAGCAGAATGACTCTCATCTAAAAAGGGTTTCCAACAATAAATAATATCTGGATTTTTATGCACCGGAATCCGTTTCTCTCCTTATATGCAAAAATCTGTTTATAAATCTGTCTGTTACGTGTCTGTGAGACGCGTTTCATATAGGAAATTTTGTCTTTGGATACAGGCGAAAAGACTTCGCACACATACATATCGAGAAATGGCTTTCCATATACATTAGTAGACCTAAGAGGCGTTTCTGGACCATTTTTCCCGCATCCATCCGATAGTCTGAGCCGCGAAATTATTGAAAGTTTATTTATATGAGTACCATCAGCTCCCAGAATCGTGGATGTAGAGGCTTGTTAGCTCAAACCGTGGCTTTTTTGGTTGCGAAAGAGTAGAACACGCAGTGCTATGCCGCGGAGTTTGACAATTTATCCTTATGGTCAGGGAAAGTCCGCAATTCGTCTTCACACGATTTGGGAGCCGATTGCAATGTGTAAGCGGCATGATGGTACTCGTAAATAATTAGAAAGCTTTAAAAGGACCAAATTAGTCTTGTAAAAAAATATTTTTGGGGCGTGGGCTAATGGGCCTGCGGAAACTCTAGCAAGTTCTTCAACGAAATCTTCGAAGTGGGAGGCTAACACCGTGCACGCGCAGCTTTAATGAAACGAATTTTTGCCCCCCCCCTGAATACGAATTTCGGGACCACCATTTGCCTCGAATCATCAATTTTTTGCTGTTTTGCAATAAGGAAACGAAGTTGGTGTCGGGTGCAGGTGATTACGAAGAAAATATATGAAATAGAAAACTCTTACTTTTAACACATTAGCAATTGAGCGATTTGGTAAAGAAGATGGAATTGCCAGTATCACTGATTGCTTATACCAATCCTGAATTCTTTAAAATCAGATGTTGTAGAGTTGAAAAGTCAAGGCAGCTGTGAGATTGAAAAAATATCCGCGGTCTAGACTATGGCTAGTCTATCTGAAAATTAAATTGGCAGAAATCTATTACATTGGCTTACTGATATACGTCAGTTACAGTCAAAATGATGATTTTATGACAAATATATCTACAAAACTTTTGGCACTTGAAAGAATGTGTCATGAAGTTCGTATGTGGAAGTGTGGAGAAGGCAACTACCTGCCACTGTGACAAACCCTCCTGCTAATTGGAATATATATGCATTTTCGAATGTACTTTTGTTGACTCAGAATCTCGTATACCAAGACAAAAATTTACAGCTGTATTCATTCTTCATTTAGTGCCAACCGAAACCATCTTGACACAGCCTTTCCATGTATATGTTGTAGAAATAGCCTCGAACTAACTGTTTGATTAAATTTGCGTAGTAGGCAGGATAGTTTGCTTTTCAGCTTCATCTGTTACTACTATTTGCGATGTACGTATGTTTGTTCCAAAAGTACACGAACGGTTCACATACCCGCTGAATAATCAGCTTCACGTGAAATCAATCAACAACTTCAAAATTGAAATCTTCTTATTGCTTCAAACGATTATATAAAGATCTGATAATTTATGAAAGTTCATTTTTTTACCCACCTATAGTAAAATGGCCGATTAGACGAACTCATTCGACTTTGACAAGAAGAAAAACAACGACATTGACCGTCATATGAATGTCTGAAAGTAGCTCGTCTTCAAAGCATGTTTCTTGCCTTGTATCTCTAGCATACCTATGGATATATTTCTGCAGTGCTGGTTTCATTTAATGCTTGCAACATGGAGCGAATCATCGATCGCTCTTTATCACTGTAGCCTTAAAGGCAGTGTCCGGGCAAAAACTCGATTTTGA